GCTCTGGCGCCTTTCGCTTCTTTTCCGGCTCTGGTGCCTTTTGCTTCTTTCTCGGCAGTGGGCAGTCTTTCCAATTTTTCAACAGCTCGTCTATTTCCTCGCCGCTCCTCGTACACGGGCGTTTTCGGGGTTCGGTTTCACCATCGAACAGATCCTTGTGTTTCCTCCATGGGTCATCGTCGCGAAGCCACCTTCGATGTCCCATGAACACGGTTTTCGAAAACCCGGGATCTCTATCTAGCTGGCGATACGTTGTGTCATCCATGCACCTTACGCATCCAGAAAATCCATGGACTACCTGCCCCACGAGATATCCGTAACCGAGATAGTCGTGCACCGTCGTGAGCAGTGCGGCTCTCATAGGGAAATATTCTTTCTCTGCGGCGTCCCACATATTGGCTGGCGTTTTCCACAGCGTGTCTAGCTCCTCCTTCAGCAGCCCCAGATACAGATTGATGTCGTTCCCTGGTTGTTTCGGCCCTTCAATTAGCATACTCATGTGAATGTACTTCCTCTTCATCCACAACCAGGGGGGAAGGTTGTACATCCACACAAACACAAGCCAGGTGCTATGTGTGCTTCTCTGGCTGCCAAACGGATTGACTCCATCGGTGCTTGCACCCAGCACGATGTTCCTTGGATCCTTCCCAAATTCTGGGTATTCGAAGTTCAACGCTTGCCACTGGCTCGCATCCTTAGGGTGACTCAGCATCTTGTCTTTTTTATTTATCTCCGAATCATTTCCGTCATCTTCCCGCTTCTTCTCCTCCCTATCCGCGTGCCAACGCAGGAGCTTTGCTACCTTAGGGTCCGAGAAATACCGTTGCAGACGAGGAGTGATCGGAAAGTACCACACCGATTTTCGAGGAGCTTTCTTCCTCTTCTTGTATCGAGTGACGCCGCACACCGGACATATGGTAGACTCCGCGTGCTCGTCCCGATAAATGATACAATTGTTCATGCACACATGGTATTTCACGTGCGGTAAATCCAGAGGACACACGATTTTCTTCGCCTCCTCGAAACTGGTCGGGCACTTGTTCCCCTTGGGAAGACGTTCGTGCCAGAATGACATGTTCTCGTCGAAGCATGCGTCGGTCATTTTGTGTTTTACCTTCATCTCCAGAGCCATGAGCGTTACTTTCAGGCGGGTATCCTCGGGCCTGCATCCTTCATACAATGGAGTAACCGCGTCTATCTCCAATTGATCCAGCTTGGCTTTCTCTCGGGCAGCAGCTCTTGCGTTATCCGTCTGCTTGAGAAGCAGCTCTTGAATATGAGGGTCCTGCACCCAGCCTCCATCTTCGTCTGCTCCGGCATCTTCATCTTCATGATCATGCCATTCGTCTTGATCTTCCTCATCATCATGTACGACATCTTCTACATGATGACTGTGTACAGCATCACCGTCGTGATCATGTCCTGGAGATTCTTCGTCTTCTCGCCCGCCCTCGCCACGGTGGTACTTGTCTTGTTGCCCTTCCTCATTTCTTGCCCGGCCCCGGCCATGGACGACTTCATAGTCATCTTCATCACCTTGCCACCGATAGCCATCCATGAAACCACGCAAGAGCAGGTGGTCCCGCACCTGCCCGGAATCCGGGTCCGCAATAAGGCTCTTCAGCTTGCATCTTCGACACGGACATCTTATCTCCGTCTCGTTCTTTTGAAGCATCTCGGCCTTCGCGGAGCTCAAAAACCTATTCACGATGCCTTCAGTCATCGTGCGGACCATGGTCGCCTGCGGGGTAGAGCAAAACGATATTTTAGAACCAAGAAAAAATTTGGCATGACCTTCCCTAAAAATAGGACCAAAAAGAATGCATAGTGCCAAAATTTTTGCCGAAACGGAAATGAATCAAAACATTCCGGCAAAATATTGGCAACTATCGCATTTCAAATACCGGTACCTTCAAACACAAACATATATGCAACACCACAAACACATGCAACACCACAAACATACATAGATCTAGTTAGGCCACAAAAAGTGCATGTGCACGTTGTTGGAACGAGGTAGGGAGAAAAAAAGTAGATCTACATCATGAAGATAGCTTTCCCCTTACTTACCTATCAAAAAAGGTAATTTCACCACTTAATTTTGATGAATCTATGGTGGAAATGAGGTGAGGAGGAGGAGGCAGCCGAAAGCTTGGAGAAGGAGGTGGAGAGAATAAAGTGGGGAAAATGAGTGGGTATGTGTGGGGATGTCCAAAATATCTTGTTGGGGTCCCAGGTTACTAATGGCGCACCATAAGGAAATGCGCCATTAGTAACCCTGGTTACTAATGGCGCACCTGCAGGTGATGCGCCATTAGAAGTTTTGCAAAAAAGTAAAAAATATAAATATATACACTAATGGCGCATCGTGTAATAGTGCGCCATTACTAGTTTAAACTAGTAATGGCGCACTGTGAAACGGTGCGCCATTAGTAGTTTTGCAAAAAAAGAATAAGAAAAAAATTACAGTAATGGCGCACTCTCTGCCTGGTGCGCCATTACTAGTTAGAACTAGTAATGGCGCATTGTCGACCTGATACGCCATTAGTATGTATGGAAAAATGGAAAAAAATTAATACTAGTGGCGCATCCTGTTTCTGGTGCGCCATTAGTGCACTAATGGCGCATCACCAACAGGTGCGCCATTAGTATATAGTAGTGGTGCACTACTTCCCTGGTGCGCCATTAGTATCAATCTTATCTATAGCCCTTTTCCTAGTAGTGCAAGATAGACTTCACTTCATTAATAACAACGGCTGGACATTTTTCAAAGAAAAGAATTGAACACTTTGAAGGGTTAATAACTTGCCCCGTCGATGTTGCATAAATGTTCAAGAAACCTTTCACCACTGAAGCCTACTGAGTGGAAACTCGAAAGAACAGAAATGAATCATCCGCAAATAGCAGATGGGGTATAGGTGGTGCCCTCCGGCAAATTTTTACAGGTACTAAACCCTCCTGCACTATTGCCTTATTAACCAAAGCAGACAAGGCAGCAACAACAAATAAGAATAGAAACGGGGATAATGGATCATCTTGCCTGAGGCCTCTGGATGGAGAAAAAGATTTCAACAGCTTCCCATTGAACTTAACAGAGTGGACGCAAGCCATTACATGAGAAACCCAAAGTTGAGAGAAACCCCACTTAAGGAGGGCCTTCTCCAAAAGTCTCAATCAACACGGTCATAAGCTGGAAAGATCCAACTTATAATCACAGAAATCCGGAGCACCTTCCTGATATAATTAATGCACTCGAAGGCTAATACTGAATTATTAGAAATAAGTCGCCTTGGAATGAATGCACATTGATTTTCAGAAATGAGGTCACCCAAAAAAGGCAGGAGCTTATTAACCAAACACTTTGATGCCATCTTGTAGATCACATTACACGGGCTGATTGGTTGAAAGTCCTTCAAGCAAGCTGGGTGTGGCACCTTCTGGATCAACACAATCGCCGTGTCATTTACACTTGTCGGCATAGACCCTGTTTCAAAAAAAATGCACAACAGGAATAACATCCTCTTTTAGGACTAGCCAGTCCCGCTGAAAAAACCGCGTCGAGAACCCATCAGGGCCCTGTGCTTTCAACGGCTCTATCTGGAATAGAGCATCAAAAATTTCATTCTCAGAAAAAGGCCTCAAGTTTACTATTTATATCATCAGTTACCTTGGGTATAATGTAGTCCAGAACCACCGCAGGTTATAGTGTAGGGTCCTTTGTATATAGTACCTCCTTAAATAGGAGGCGGCCACACGTCCATATCGGAGGGGATAGAACACCAAACTCCATCGTCTTTCTTCAGTCGTTGAATATAATTCCTTTGAGCCTGCCAAACTGCTCTCGTTTGACTTGGTTGAAGGAGGGGGAAAGAAACATATGCCTTGTTACTAGCCATCCTTACATATCAATCTGGTACCATCCGGTGACAGGATCATGGTAACCGTTAAAAAAAATCAATGAGAAGTGGTACAATGAAACATAAGCCTTGGTACTAGCCATCCTTACATATCAATCTGGTACCACCCGGTGATAGGATCATGATAACTGTTACAAAAAATCAATGAGAAGTGGTACAATGAAAATATACATTAAATCATTATTTATAAGCTGTCCCATGTTGGATGGTTAGACGGCAAGGCGGCCTGGCAGTGGCTTGCAATTATGCCCGCTTTAGGTGTTTAGGCGTCGCTTAGGCATAGAGTGGTTAGTGCTCGTCTTAGATCGCCTTACCACGTTATAAACAATGTAGAAAATGTTCTAAAAAAGATTAGTAACGTAATACGGAGGAAAATATGAAGTACTCATGAAATCAAAATGAGAAGAAAGAAATAGAGAAGTGAAAAACAATTACTTCATATGGAAATGATACTACTCGTGAGAATTACGAGTCCGCTGCTGCGATCATGACTTCATGACCTCAGGAGACGACAGGTAGCAGCCGTCGCGAATGACGAGCAGAGCGACGGGAGGAGGATCGGTGGCGCTGGCAGGCGCGCGACGCAGCTCCGACGATCCCCGCCGTCGTTGGCCGACGTCACCAAACCGCCGGCCACCGTGCTCCTCGGCGTCGAGCCGTTTCACCATCTCTCTCCGTTAGGCTGGGCCAGGCTTCGGGCCTCCACACACTTATGCCGATTCCTTCTCGCCCGCAATTAATCTGGGCCGAGAACGGAACTACGGCCCACCTTAGTAATACTGCAGCCCACCAAAAAGAGAACGCGGGGCTCGCCTGCTCGGGCCCAACCAGGACTTCGTCGTTTACTCGCAGGAGTCGCAGTCTTCTCCATCCGGGAAACAAATCCCACCGACCTCGATAGATTGCCTCCTACCCCTCCCCTTCCCCACCTTCCGCCACCAGCCAGCCAGCTCCGGCCAAATCCCGATCGCGATGAACGCGTCGCAGTTCATGGACAAGCAGATCCTCGGGCTCGCGGCGGCGGGCGCGGCATCCTCGCCTCCCTCCGGTGGCAGCGGCGGCGGCGGCCAGCTGTTCGATCTGATGGGCCCCAACCCGCAAGAGGACGACGTGGTGGAGAGCCACGACCTCCACGCGCGCCGCGGCGCCAGTGCCACGGAGGAGGTGATGGTGCCCAGCTACGACTTCCAACCCATCCGCACCCCCGCCGCCGCCGTAGCCCCAGCGGCCCCTGCCCCGGCCGCGGCGAACGCTTGGGGGTCGCTCGACGCCAATGCCGCGTCCCCCAAACTTAAGGTAATACTACCTGGCCACCTTCAGTCCGGCACTGCTGTTCATAGATCTGTTCGTCGACACTAGTATTTGCTAGCTAGTGCTGGTCTGCTCGGTTGTAGAATTCCGTTGCGCCCATAAATCGAATCGATGTGGTTGCCCTTTTGGCACTATATATGATTCAGATAGAAAAGGGAAAAGTAGCCCTAGTAGTTGTGGTTCCGGTGCTTGTGGAAGCTGACGCATATCCATGACAGTATGTCATAGGTTTTTGTACGTACTTTTAGGATGATTGCAGATGCTGCTCTTGCAATGGCTCTACGTTTGCAACTTGTTGCTGATTGATGCTCTTTATGGTCGGCTGCTTACTCCTTCTCATAGTCTTATATGCCTCATATTGATGTACCTAAATCGTCTGATGTTCAACGAATACGGCATCACTTTAGTGGGGGTGTATATAGCTAACTAAATATGGTCTGCCACCTAATCAAGTTACGCAACTTTGCATTTGCGTGCGTGCTTAAGATGTTCCCCGTGCACTTTGGAAGAAAAATGGTAGTGGCACATCATGAATCCATGTCCTTTGGCGCAATTCCATGAGCTGCATTTATGGTAACTATGACAGAAGTGTGCATGTGTGTGATAGTTTTAATCATGGGTTAGAGAGATAGTTAGGCAGCAGCAAACAGTTATCTCCAGAACTGCAGGGATGGACCATTTGGCCATGTCCTTAATTATTCCACCAATCTTAGTGGGCAGTCCAGCTCCAGCATGTTCCATGTTATATTTGTGCATGCAAAGTTATTACTATGTTTTTCAACATTTTTCTTATGCGCACAGTGGTAGGGTGTGCAATATAATTGGCAACTGATTGAGTATAAGAATTAACACAGGCACACAGGGATCTTATGTACCCATTCACCGTATACTTCTGTAGCTGTATGTGATATTAATAACCAATCCAAGAGGTTTTTTAAATTCTTTAGTTGTTGTGATGCATGATTGTTATCACTTCATATCACCTCACTTTTTTCTCTTTCCTTGTGATATATATGTAATTAATATGCTTAATTTCTTTTACCATGCAAAGAGTGCTGCTATGATGGAGCCTCGTGTGCTGAAGAAAGTTAGTCATGAAGAAGAAAGGAGCAACTTCAATGCAGTCACTATAGCAGATATTGATCGCACCATGAAGAAATATGCTGATAACTTGCTACATGCAATGGAAGGTGTAAGCTCCAGACTTGCACAGCTGGAGGGCAGAACACACCATCTTGAGGACTCTGTTGGCGAGTTGAAGTTAACAGTTGGTAACTACAACGGCAGCACTGATGGAAAACTGAGGCAATTTGAGAACACACTGCGGGAGGTAAGCTTTATTCCAACTCCTCTCTGCAAGTGAATATCTTCCCTTGATTCCCTCCTCTCCTTGTTCTTTCTTTTATTGGTAGAGAAAGGATCATGCTTACCTTATCGCAATAACTTGCTTACTGGTTGGGATAATCAAGATGGAAAAGAACTTGGTTTATTATTGAGTAACAATAGTCTTTGTTTTTTCTTTAGCTCATCAATGTATGATGTTTGTCTTATTTAATATTTGATCCTATTTTTTGACTGAAGCTTGTTGGCTGATTTTGTATTTTGTATACAAATAGGAATGTACAGCTCTGAAATCTATTGATTATATACTCCCATCATGTCATAGTGGATTTTATTATTACTGGTCATTTGTCCAGCTAGCTCACATCTTGTTGATAGTTTGCAGTTTATTTGTCTATTTAAGGACTATATTTCATAATTGCCTATAATACATAAGTTTCATCATTAGTTTTCACTTTTGAGTTTCCTTCAGCTCCATTCAAGCGCACAATGGCATGGTGACAAGTGGAATTATTAATATGTTTGTGGCCCCTGTTGCATCTTGTGCATGCTAGTGCGCTTCATGTCTTTCTTCTGCCTTCTTCATCTAGTGTTTTTACATGCCTTCACCTAGTGTGTTGGTAGTTAATCATGAAGAATGTTTCGTACCTTCATATTGTGATGTGATTTTCTGAGACATTGTAGGAAGATTTCTTTTGGTGCTTATCGTACTAATTTGCTACCTGGACACATGTTTGTATTAATTTATTTTGTACTATCGCCAGTGTTTCTTCAGCAGCTAGATTAATTATGTATGCACTACTCGCAGGTTCAAGCAGGTGTGCAGATTTTGCGTGACAAGCAGGAAATTGTTGAGGCCCAGGTTCAACTTACGAAGCTTCAAGTGTCTAAAGCAGAGGATGTTAAGTCAGAAAATGCCAGTGCTGGGCAGGTGGACTCAAGGCAGCAGCCGCCTGCGCCCCAGCCAACTGTTCAACCACAACATCAGGCCTATCCTCCTTCCCAACCAACGGGACTGCCTGCCCTTCCTGCTCCAAATGCGCCCCCTCCACCAATGGTTAACAACCAACCTCCGCCGCAATTCCAAGGTCATTTACCGCATCCTCAAATGCAATCAGTCGCACCTGCTCCATCTGTGCCGACCATATCGCAGGAATCCTACTATCCCCCATCCACACAGACAACAGAGGCTGCACACCAGCAATATCAAGCACCACCAGCTTCGCAGCCACAAGCACCTCCAGCAGCACCACAACATTATCAGCACCCGCCTCAGTATGCTCCATATTCTCAACCTCCGCTGCCTGGAAGTGTTAACCCCCAAACTCCAGCCGCACCCTTGCCCCATCAGCCAGAAGAAGCAGCACCTTATGGGCCTCCTGCTCAGAGCTACCCACTGAATGTCCGCCCGCCGTCCCCTTACATGCCACCACCCAGTGGACCTGTTCCTCCTTTCTATGGGCCAAACCCTGGCATGTACGAGCCTCCAGCAGTCAGGCCTAACTCCGGTCCACCACCGCCCTACAGCGCTGGATACAAGCAGCAGGGAGGAGGCGGTTTTCCTGAGCAGTATGGATACAGCGGGTCTCCGTCTCACCGTGGTAATGCTGGAATGAACTCGCCTTCACCCTTTGCCCCCACTGGCCCCTCCTCGGCTGGAAGTGGCAACTACGGCAAGCTCCCTACAGCTCAAATACTGCCCCAAGCAGCGCCAGTGAGCTCTGCTCCGAGTGCCTCGTCCGGCAACAGGGTGGCGGTCGACGACGTGGTGGACAAGGTTTCAACGATGGGGTTCTCAAAGGAGCAAGTGAGGGCGACTGTGCGCAGGCTGACAGAGAACGGTCAGAATGTGGACCTGAACGTGGTGCTCGACAAGCTGATGAACGACAGTGATGCGCAGCCTGCCCAGAGAGGCTGGTTCGGGCGATAAAAGCCCAGCTGCTAGTCGTGGAGCAGCATGTGTATATGATCGATGAGCGAACACCTATGTAACCAATTCGTGCATTCACGAGGGATTTCTTATTTGTCAGGTTTCTCGTTTGCTGCTACCGTACAGTTAGTGTTAGCTCTTTTGTTAACTAGTGCCCTAGTGATTGCTATCCATTGTCAGTTTGACTAGTGTGTCTGCAAGTGTTATTGTCGTCAAGTACTATTGTTGATGACCTGTGAAACTAGCTCATGGCTGCCTTATCTTTCACGCATCTATACGACGGTGACCTCTCTAACCTCTTCGTGTGGCTGGCGACGTGTGATCACATTTGTCACGGAGTTTTGGCGACAGAGACAAATCGTTAGATCGCTGGCAATGAGCCGTGCACTTTCATCCGAAGTGCTTAGCTCTCGGCTCACCAGGACCACACCTATACGGTTGCAGTTCGCAGGCAACGAGGCCACTGTGCTAGTCACTCACTCACATGGCTTGGCGCCTCGCTACCGGCCGCTGGTCTGTCTGCGTGAGCTGCTGGCGGCATCGCTCCAAAGTCTGCTGCCACCCACCGAGGATCAGCCAACAGAAAACACCTCTTCTCATCCCGCCGTCCGCGCGTGTGCGTGCTCTGCTCGCACGCATGACATGCCTGCTCGTGCCGGCTGTCGCATGCGCTGCCCCCGCCCCCGCCGGACATAAAACCACCGGCCACGGTCGCCCGCAGCCCAAGATAAGGGTGACGCGTGGCGTGAGAAGCAAGGTGTCTGCTGCCAGGGCCGGAATGGACGGCGGTACGTCGGCGCCGCCGCCTGAGCCGGCCATCGCGCCGGACGCCGTCATCAACCTCGAGCTGTGCGTGTTCCCGTAACGTATTTCGTGCGCGATTGGGTAAGGTGTTCTCTATCTGACAACGTGCTTCGCCGCACTGCCGGTTTTGGTTCTGCGTGCGTGCAGCGGCGACCCGACCATGTACGAGGCGTTCTGGAGGGAGGTCGGGGAGCGGGCGGCGGTGGCGATCCCGGGGTGGTCGGGGATGAGCTACTTCTCCAATGCCCAGAGCCTCTGCTGGTTCCTCGACCCGGAGTTCGAGCGCGAGGTCCGCCGCGTCCACCGCCTCGTCGGCAACGCCGCCGTCGACGACGGCTACCACCTCGTGGTCGGCACCGGCGCCACCCAGCTCTTCCAGGCGGCCATGTACGCCCTGTCTCCCGCCGGCGCCCAATGGCCCGTCGGCGTCGTCTCGCCGGCGCCCTACTACTCGGTATTTAATCAAGATCAAACGATCCAAGTGCAAATTCAATTACATTCGTGGTGTGGTGTGGGGTGATTGCCTGACATGGTGTCATCTTGGACGTACGTCGTGGCGTGCCAGTCGTACCCGCCGCAGACGGACCTGCTGCTCTCGGGGTTCTACCGGTGGGCCGGCGACGCCAACGCGTTCGACGGCGACGGCCACATCGAGCTGGTCTGCTCGCCCAACAACCCGGACGGCGCCATCCGCGAGGCCGTCCTGAGCTCCGAGTCCGGCAAGGCGATCCACGACCTGGTATACTACTGGCCTCAGTACACGCCCATCACCGGCGCCGCCGCCCACGACATCATGCTCTTCACCATGTCCAAGGTCACCGGCCACGCCGGCGCCAGGCTCGGGTGGGCGCTCGTCAAGGACCGCGACGTGGCCAAGAAGATGGTCTACTTCGTGGACCGGAGCACCATCGGCGTGTCCAAGGACTCGCAGCTCCGCACCGCCAAGATCCTCGCCGTCGTCTCCGACGCCTACGGACCCGACGAGGAGGACGACACGCGGCTCCGGCTCTTCGACTTCGCGCGCCGTCGCATGGAGGAGCGCTGGCGGGCCCTGCGCGCCGCCGTGGCGGCCACCGGCGCCTTCAGCCTCCCGGAGGAGACCGCCGGCCACTGCAACTTCAGCAGGCAAACCGTGGCAGCTTACCCCGGTACTGTACATTAAACATATACTGAACATTCTTAATCCATGAACACGAATTCCGCCATTACTCCAGTTTGTTTAGTTCTTCTCACCCGGCTCGCAATCGGATGCAGCGTTCGCGTGGCTGCGCTGCGAGAAGGATGGCGTGGAGGACTGCGCCGAGTTCCTCCGCGGCCACGGCATCGTGGCGCGGGGAGGGGAGCAGTTCGGGGGAGACGCCAGGTGCGTCAGGGTCAACATGCTGGACAGGGACGGTGTGTTCGACGTGCTCATAGACCGCCTCTTCTCCATAACATGATTACCATGAGGATGCAAAGCCAGAGCTATCATGCGAACAGAATGCTTCGGATTAATTCGGAGAACAAAACGAAAACGAATGGAGTGGATTTCGATGGTCTCACCCGCTTATAATCTCTCTGTATATGGAACGACTGGTGCGAGTTTTGAAGTTTAAAATTTTCCTTGAGGCTTAACTCCCTAAAAATGTTTTGCTACTCCCTCCGTCTGATATTAACTGTTGCTAAAATGAGTGTATCTACACACTGAAACACGTCTAGATACACTCATTAAGAATAAGCTCGCATTCTAACTTGATCCCTAAAATTTAACTACTTTTCTTCATTAACTGGTTGTAGATCCTCATTTCCTTTTGCGAACTTAAACTCCTTTTAAACTATTTTTTGGCATTAAAGTTCAAACGTTTGCCGTCAACGATGAAAACATTTAATACTATTTAATACTTCTATTTATTTTTTTTAGAAAATACGTACCAAGCACAATAGATAGACCAAATGAAACAAGTAGTCTAAAAAACAACAAATTATGATCAAAGAGTTATTCCCCAGAAGGCTGCCATTGGTGCTCGCTGAGGTATTGATTGTATAGTTGCACATGGGCTGCCAATGCACTTCAAAAGAACCTATGGATTGTATTGTTATTGCTTTGAGGAGTGACAAGTTCTTCAAAGGCCTCAAAATCCAAGTTCATCAGTTGAGAGAGACCTCTTTCGTTCTATATGATCATGTTGTGCAAGACCACACAGTGTATTCCATGAATAATGTGAAAGCAAGCTTGTAACACAACGAGAAGCTCTCTCGATATAGTTTCTTATGGATTCGTGAGCCGCGTCAAAGTGAGCTTTCTTAATGCCTCAATGGTCTAGATTGTCTTCACAAATATGGACCACGAGGGGTAGATGTCATATACAAGGTAGCTTTAATATGCAATGGTTTGTCTTTCCGCTACTTCTGCTTACCAGAATACAAGAGACACAAGTTTACATGTCATCATCATTTTGAAAGCTATGCCTACTAATATTTGGAAGTCGATGGTTAGCTCGTAATAATAGTGTCATAGTGTCATTATTTATCTTGCAAAATATTCATATTTCACTCTCTTGATAGTATTACGGAAACCCTCTCACAGTTTGCTCGAAAAAAAACCATATTTGGCTAGTATCTTTGTGTCTGCTTAGGAAAGACGGTGTTGGCCGGTGTCTACAATGTTTCTTTAGAGAGCTGGTGCCCTCAGCGTTGGGTGAAGAGTCAGTTGCTTTACCGACTCTAAAAACGAATACCAACAAAAATCAACTACAAAAACTAGGAAAACTACCTTGAATACATTTGACCTGACAAAAAGAAAAATAAGAGAAAGCACATACATATGAAACATTAAATTTATGTACTATTATTCATCGTTTGCTCTATGCTATCATATCACATCTATAATTTGCTCTTTGCTATCACAGTTTGCAAGTCTCGTACAAATATGCTCAAGCTTCATCTCTCTTCACACGAGCTTGACTTTCGTGCATTCCACAAACAAGTGCTTCCTGACTCGGCTATGGAATTGCACAAGAAACAAGCATCTCCTGATATTGGGGACATGACTATGCAAGCGCCCGAGAACTCGACGTCGGCAGGTGGGAAACTGCGGCGACGATGGATGACAATAAGGGCCAAGGCGAGACTCAGATCGCCCAACGCAAGTTACGAAACGGTCACCCTAGGAACGAACTCAGCTGTTCCTTGCTCTGTCACCCTAGAGACGGAGCAAAGAACTTCCCTGCGGCCGTGTCGTCTGGCCTGGTGTGCAGGCTTTTCCTCTGCAGTTGTACTCGAAGATGTACCCATCGATTATTCATCCTTGATCTGGTTTAATTTAAATAAGATTGTTCAAATATGCATTCCTCGAAACAGAAAAATATTGGACTCAACAGTTATGGACATAGACCGTTCTAGAATTATGAAAGGAAATGGGTACTTCTACAATAATACTCGTAGAATTAGTCCCTCAAGAAAATCTCGTAGAATTAGGAAATGGCTTAACCGTTCTCAGAAAAAAGAAGAGAGGAAATGGCTTCTGGTTGAGCCGAACCAAGTCACCAGTTCGGTCTCCTGTTCCGTCTTCCCAACCCAGGCACCCGGCTCGTCTGGAAACATGGAGCTGCCACGCCTCCGCCGCTCGCCGCCGGCGCTTCCAGACCACCTCCTCGAGGAAATCTTCTCCCGCCTCCCTCCCAGCGAACCCTCATGCCTCCTCCGCGCCTGCCTCGTCTGCAAGCACTGGCGCGACATCATCTCCGCCCCTAGCTTCCTCCGCCACCTCCACGCGCACCGCCGGGCACCCAAGATGCTAGGGTTCCTCCAGCACTCGGAAGGTGATGAGAATCTCCCCGTATACGTGCCCACCTCCCCCTTCTCCTTCCCCGTCCCCGACCCCCGCGCCTGGCACGTCCTCGGCTACCGGCACGGCCGCGCCGTATTCGTCTCCGATACTACCGACCGGGAGCTCCTCGTCTGGGAGCCGTTCACGGGCAACCGGTGGAACGTGCCGGTACCCGCGGAACTCAAGATCGGGCACTCCAACGCCACCGTGCTCTGTACGGCGGAGGGGTGCGACCATCTCAACTGCCACGGGGGGCCCTTCCGCGTTGTCTTGGTGTTCACCAGCCCCTTCGAGGAGGAAACGGAGTGGCTCACGTCGGCGGCCGTATACTCGTCGGAGACCGGCGCCTGGGGTGAGGTGGCCTTGGCCTTGCCCTGGCGCGATGGCTTTTCCTTGCTCTGTGAGAATCCTGGCCTGCTCGTGGGGAATTCTCTGCTGTACTTCCTGTACCTTGATGGGCACATCCTCGAGTACAACTTGGCTGAGCATGTCCTCAATGTGATCAACCCACCGGAACCGGACAATGATGCTGCATTCTCGCAGAGAGTTATGCTGGTTCAGGCGGAGGATGGTGGGCTGGGAATTGCTAAAGCTGATGACGGTGGGTGGAATCATCTCTACCTCTGGTCAAGGAAGGTCAGTGAAGGAGGTGATGCAGAATGGGTGGAGTGCCCGTTCATGTACCTCGGCGATTCGCTTCCATTTGCTGCTAGGTCGTCGTCCTCAAGAATAACAGTGTTTCTGATGGGCTTTGTCGAGGGAGCAAATACCATTTTGGTGAGCACGGTTGATGGCTTCTTTTCAATCGAGCTCCAGTCCAAGCGGGGGAGGAAGATGTGCAAGGACCGATGCAGGGCCTACCCTTTGGTTCCAGTTGTCAGCTCCTACTCTATACTCCGGGTACCTCAAGTTGAGCACGACAGCCTGGGCTCTCCGGACTTCAATGGTGAGTCAGATGATGAGGAGTGGGAGTGGGAAGCACTAAGGCAGGCAGAGTCGCTGTTTTACAGTGGGTCCATGGCCATCAAGGAGGGGGACTTTGTTGCCGCTGTTGATTGCCTCAGCCGCGTCCTGGCGATCAGGTTAGGATTCTGCTCCCAATCACGCCGAAGGCATGAGAAGGATTGTAGGGAAAAGCATCCAGTTAGTTCACTCCTGTTATGGATTTGTTATTGTTTACGTGTGTCCTTATGTTTTGTAGTTTGAGAGATGATCTTGATAGGTTTCAGATGTTATACACGTGGAAAGGTTGTTCCCAAGCGGTCGTTTAGGCTTACTGTGTCAACAGCTACCTTGATGGAGTTTGTTGGAGTGTTAGGGAGTAGTGAGTGCCTAGTTTTAATTTGATAGCAATATTTGGAAATTTGGAGCTGGCTATCATTTTTTATGATTTCTGAACTGCGAAAGAGCATCAATTCAAAATGCAATTGCTTAGATAAGAGTTATCCTATTCGGTAAATCTGTCTATGTCTCTGGAGTACTGACTAGTTGCAAATGTTTCATAGCAGTGAGGTTTATCTATATGCTTTCTTACAAATTTTACTCCATAATCTGTGCAAGCACTTATCAACGCTATAAAAGGCAATAAACAGTGAAAATAATTACTCCCTCCGTTCATAAATATAAGATGTTCTAACTTTTTTCTGAATCGAATGTAGATAAACACATTTTAGTGTTTTATTTTCACTCATTTCAGTTCGTATGTAGTCCATGTTGAAATATCTAAAACATCTTATATTTGTGAACGGAGGGAGTACTAGTTAGTACATTCTGTCATCTGAATGACCAGTGGAGCAATCGGGGTGTTTAGTTATGATTATCCCACTCTATCTCAGATTACATTCCGTTCTATGGAAGTATCTTATAACCTCAACAATAACAAATCTACTCCTTTGTTGTCACCTAGGGTTGCACATTATGGTGAACTTGCTCCGGAATGTGCTAGTGTGTATTACAAATATGGATGTGCCTTGCTATGGAAAGCTCAGAAGGCAACTAATCCTCTGGGAAACCTTCCCAAGAAGGGTACAATCAGCAAAGCTCACAGTGAAGAATGTATATCTTTATGCCTTTACCCCTAGACAGTCACATATAAGATATATTACTCTTTGTATCTGTATAGTTAATTACAATCTCCTGATCACAAGCTTTTCTTTCCTGCTAAATATTTTACATAATAAATTGCTAATCAATAATGTACCCATGTGTTTGCAAACTAAATGGTCTCGTATGGAACCTGGACCTGTTTACCGTTTGGGCTTATCTCTTGAATTGTCATCGTTTGGTAGGAGGCCATTTTGTCAAATTGTTCTGCTCATTGTTGTTACATATGGTGCAAGTCAAGGTTATGCTATAAATAGTTGATGATCTCACAGAAAGCAGAAAATACTTTTAATGCTAAAAGAGCTTGTTTATGGGCTGTCCATATTTTGGACTTGTGTATGGTGCCATGTGGCAGCTATTTTTATTTTATTTTTGTGCCTGAATGGCCAAATGGAAATGCCAGATTAAACAGATATGGATACTTGAATCACTGGCTTCATTCATTGTTCTTGTATTTAGCTGTCTAACCAGTGTACTTGCGTGTGCTAACTTATACAACATAGAAGTTTCACCTTTTTGCAATTATATATGGTACATGAGTATGCAGTAATGTAATGTGAGTATTTCTTGTCTCACATTTCTATCAGAATACTTATTTAGACGGACCACTGTATTGGTCAATGGTATGTTATACTGGTTATTAAGTTGGATGATTTAAGCATATGAATGCATCTCATTGTTTTCTATTGCTGTTTTTTGTTTCACAAACAGTCCACCACTAGTATAATTGATCTTCTATCAATGTGCTTTTCTTCCTGCCATGGTTTAACTTTATACTGATATACTCATTGAGCAGGGGAAAACTCAAATGGCGAAGATCAGGAGGATAGGAAGGGTGACAATGAGATGGCAGGCGCTGGAGATGTTTCTGATGTGGATCTTGCTGGGAAAATGCTAGATACTGCAAGAATAATAATGGAAAAGACCGCAGACAACACTGTGGAGATATCAAGAATCCTTTCTGCTCTCACTGAAGTCTCCATGGAGAAGAGAAAAAGGTAGTTTCCGTTATCTAGGTTACTCATAATTTAACTGGCAACTGGTCTTGATACTAATGTCACCAATTTTATTTGCAGAGGAATTAATTAGACAAGTCACTCAGTGAAAGTTTTAGGCATCCTGGAGCATTTACCTAACTGCATTCTGTTTGCGGTATGAAATTGTCAATCGTCTGTCATGTAGCAGTACTATCTGCATCCTTCCGGAGGTGGGTCTCTGTGGTTTTACGGGTACTAAATTTTCAGTTAGATACTTGCTGGTATCTTGTAGATTTGGTTGGTCTTCCTGTTGCTTATCCCCCTTAATTCAGTCCTAGGAGGACTCCCTGCACCTGGCTGCTTTGTCTTGGAGCTTCCTCCATTATGTAAACCGTGTATACAGAACCAGAAAAGTGGCAAGGAGGCTCAGAAATTCCACTTGAGAAGATGAGATAAAGATCATTACCGACATCATATCCCACTTTTTGATGTCGGAACAGAAGGAAGATCATTACTAGCTCAGAAGGTGGTGATACTATTCATTAAAGCGGCGACGCCCGTGAGCGCCGCCCTTCCATCCTGTCAAATCGCGGCATCAATGCCGGTCGCTGCATGCTCTGGCATGGCAAGCGGTGTGGGCGTTCGATGGAAAGCAAGGGAGAGGAAGGTGGTCTTTTTTTGGTGGGCCAAGGTGGTCAGACGTCGACGTGGCGGCGGTCTGGACGCTCGCAAAGCCCCCCTAGTTTGTCTTCAGTTTGCTGAAAAAGTATGTCTTGACGCACAACAAGTCCCCGCGCTGTCCAGATGTATATGCTAGTACGCATAATAACCTGTTTTTTTTGTTTTTGTATGTCTTTTTTTTACTGGTAAAAAAAATGACATTGTCTGGCTGTTGCTTTTCTTTATATTTGTGCGTGCAGCAGCAGTTTGACCTCAATGGTGTAAAATTATAATTTTTTGTCTAGTATGGAATTCATTTTTCTAGAAGTTGCACTAGTTTACAGTTATTCTTTCAGGGTACAAAATAATGCAAGTTTTGTGTAATTTGTGTGCAAATTTTGAGTATATTGTTTGTGTGCGTGCGTACGTGCGCGCGTCTCGGTCGAGTGTCGGATCTTGTATCCGAGCCGGCCTAAGTCCAGCACCGAGTTAGGTTGGGTGTGCGCGTGTTGACGTGCATAATAAGTACTCCTACATACTCCTACATACATAGGCCCGCCCTTAATTTGGCTCCTAATAAAATCTAGGGACTGTCTAGGTCTCAGTCGACTGAGACTGAGACTCAGTCGGCTGACGTCATCATATGTAGATTAGGCATGTTAAGTAGCTTTTCATTTGCTGGGTTGAACCGGCTTAACACCTGGGCTGGTTTCTCTTTTCTTGTTTGTTTGTTTGTTGGGCTGGGTCATGACATTGTTTGCTTGTGGGCCCGGACGACATAGAAAAAAGACAAAAAAACTTATTTGCTGCTCTGCTTTATGAACTGTACTTTTTGACTGAATCCAGGCAAAACCCCATGCCCACAAGCATGGAGAAACTCACTAGTGTAAGGGCGTCTGATCTCTTCTCTGATTTTCACCCCCTCCCACCTTTCCCCCCACCTTATCTTCTCTGATTTGTTCTAGATCTGATTTTCTTTTCTCCCTTCTCATGTTTGTAACAGCAATCCTGCAGCAGTAAGGAAGATTCCTGATGGGACATAGGTTAGAGTTATAATTTGTAGGAAAATTAGAGAAGAGGCAAAACTGAATCAAGTAGTATTTGACTGGCATGTGTGTTGTAGCAATTCTGACAGCAGAAAATAATTTTATTTTTAACTGTATGTCCATGAAAAAATGATGTTGGACTCCTCCCCACAAAAGTTGTATATGGATTGATTGGTTCATGTTTTAGGACAGAATATGGCTTGGTAATTAAAACAGAAATCAGTAGGGTGCTGCCCTCTCCCCTGCACAAGACACTAAGGAGAAAGACTGAACTTTTTTCAAGATTTGCCACAGTGGGGTTGTATTACAAGCATATACATGACCCTGCCTAGTGTACAGAAAAATATGAAAAAAAAGTAGCATGGTTAACATCTAGTTCGGTGACTACAGAAGATCAAGAATGTATAGTGTGAACTAAGAAAAAAGAAACAGAGGCATAGAAAAAATGAACCTTTCTTGTGGATGGTCAAATATACCTCAGCAACAATGTTTTCTCTTCATTTTGTAGGTGCTGGATGGAACTATGGCAAAAGAACTCCAAACAGCTGCGGACCAGTCCCAGTTAATCTGCTGACACCGGTTCATGTAAGATTGATATTTTTGGAAAAAAGGTTGTTTCACAAGGGTGTACAAAAAAAAGGAACTTAGAACATCACTCTCCATGTGCAGCAGCCATACCTTGGTGTCCAACATGTGCAGCATCAACAAACTGTGATGAATCTGGCATCCCAACCATCTTCAAGTGCATTTGCACAACATGTATGTGCTTTCATGAACAACAAGAATAAACTCTTTAAGTTATCTGCCTTGATGAATATAATCTGGTACTCTGTTGCACATGCATCAAATTGTAACATGCAAGAAAAGTAAAAAAATGCAGGGTCATTCCGAATGCGAGTGCCTCAGTAAATAAATAATAATAATCTCAGTATGTTGAATGCCTTAGAAAATTCAAACAAGCATTGGCAATGCTCAGTGCAAGCAAGCAATTGAAGGGACATCAGTAAAAACCAAGTACAAGTACATCACATAAGAATTCAATAGTTACCTTTGAAAAAAATCTCAGCTACCTACCTCTATTTCAACGTCAGCCATGGAATTTGTTCTCTTCATTTCGCACTCAGAAAAGTATGAGGTCAAGCCAAACAAAACACTAATTCACTCCCTCAGATTCGTGATTCACACCCAAAAAAGCATTAGAAAAAATATACCCAAAAATCGTTATCTCCATTTGCAAACTCCATCCCAGAATCTAGATTCGCACCATATATCCCGTAGTGGGCAAACAAACAAATCTGAGATAATAAAAGCTTGTCATAAAACTGTGGTAGAGAGTAAGTGAGGATGGTTAATCCGTTCACATATTGCTAATTGTAACTAGTAAAAGGAAACACTCCTAGATTTTCTTATGGAAATGTAAAACATCAAGTGTCTGTTTTGGTAGTTCAGACAAACAAAACCAAAACAGGCACTACAAATCCAACATTCCATGAGTTGGAGAGAGGAAGCTAAAAGCAGAATAACTTTTGAATAAATGTGGAAAAATTGATGTCGAAAAGATTAAGAGATGCCTTAATTAGTCAAGACTATCAGCAACAAATCTCCTACCTTGAGAGACACATAAGGTAGCTACATCCATCAACTACAGTGGTAAAAAACTAACAGGTGCAAATCACTTGCACGGTAGTACTACAGGAGTACTGAACACTTACAAGCATGTTGCTTAAGTAATTCAGACATGTCTACTGACAGTGAACTTGGATACTTGTAAATTCACAACCACAAAATGTCTACTGACAGTGAACAGAATTAGACTAATGCTCTCATAAAGCACAGAAAATTTAGATGTAGTCCTACCAAGTTCCCCATCTCGCTGACCGGGGCGGCGCCGGAGGACGATGGAGAAGACGGCCGCGCTTCCCCTGCCCCCTTTTCGTCGGGCAGCACCACCGGCGCAGCTGCTGTGCCCGAGAATCTGGACAAGTAACTCTTCTCTCCTTTAATATGCTCCCCTTTTTTGAAAATGAGCTGCGCTGTCAGAATCAAATGCAAAAAACAAATTTGATTTTTTTATTAAATCCTTGGGAAAAACAAAAAATGCAAAAATGTATATGATTAAAAAAAAGATAAAAACACACAAACTAGTTGTGAGATCGGGTGCTTGATTTGTGTTTGCAAGCATGGCAAAAAACGGCGGTGTTATGGTGCTCGTGTGACACATAGCGAGGGTAGAGGATTCGCGGGGGAGCTGCCACCTTCCGACCAAGCAAAAAAAATCTAGTTGCAAAAATGTATGTAAAGAGACATAGTTATAGTCCGGGGGACCGCCCTTGCAAATCTTTTATCTTTTATATCTAAATAGCTAGCCCCCACTAACATATTTCTCTCAACATGCAAGCATGCCACCTCATCATTCAACATGCATAAGGAAAGGCCCACCTCAACATGCAACTATTCATATTAAAAACCCACTACAACATGCATGCATGTAATTTCATTTTATTATGCTATTTACATTTAATTCTTATATACTTTCAAAAACTATTGTTTCAAGAATTCATGTTCCATATAATCAAAATCTCATTGAAATATTGCAAACATTCCCACAACAACGTGCGGGGCATCATCTAGTTGCATGAATAGTTGCCCCCTCTCTCTTACCGCCACCCCTCCGACAAAACAAAGGCCCCTAGTTGAAACTAAGTTAGAAGACACTAAGTATGACCATGCTAGAAAGACACGTGGTTGCATGAGTATAGTTGGACATGCAGCTGGTCACCTCTCTATCATTGTTGCCCCCTCCGACAAAACAAAGGTCCCCCAATTGCAACCAAGTTAAAAGATATGCAGTTGCATGCCTACTGAGGGACATGCAATTGGCCCCATGTCTCTAGACGCCGCCCCCTCTGACAAAACAAAGGTCCCCAGTTGCGACCGTAGTAAAAAGACATGCAGTTGCGTGCCCATTGTGGGACATGAAACTGGCAAAGTCGAAGTCGCAACCAAGTTATAAGACATGAAGTTGCGACCATGCTCGAAGACATGTAGTTACGTGCCTAGTGTGGGGCATGCAACTGCCTCCCCCGAGTTGCGACCAAGTTAAAAGACATGCAGTTGCGTGCCTAGTGTGGGACATGCAACTAGGGCCCATCTCTCTCGACGCCGCTCCCTCGGACAAAACAAAAGTCCCCAATTGCGACCAAGTAAGAATACATGCAGTTGTGTGCCCATTGTGGGACATGAAACTGGCAAAGTCGGAGTTGTAACCAAGTTATAAGACATGCAGTTGCGTGTCTAGTGTGGGGGCATGCAACTGGGCCCCTCTCTCTCGATGCCGCCACCTCCAACAAAACAAAGGTCCCCCAAGCTGCCATCTCTCTCGACATGCAAT